AGAGAAAAGCCCCCTCCCCTACTAGAGCGAGACGATGCTTCAGAGATTAGCCCCCTCCCCTACTAGAGCGAGACAATGCTTCAGTTTGAGCTGAGATCCACGTATGGCTAGACGTGTCCATCTGTTCTGATCAATTAGTTATTTGCTTAGTTAGTAAAAATTTGAACAGTTCAAAGTATTTCAACATATTTTTCTCGGGTTAAAACAGATTGTAGTTGTAATTTAATTATTGCATCGTCCCGGTGAATTGCATGACAAATACACCATTACACCTCATATTCCTACAACATCAGCAGTGAGCTCTGAATACTCGCCTCAGGAAGTGGGTTCTGCTCCTTGGCCAGATGTATTCCACCGATCGGAATGATGTTGGGGATGTACGGCTGCACATAGTGAACGTGAGGATGCTCATTTGAAAAAGTCAAGGCCAACCAGTTCTGCATCAATTCTGACAGTGGAGGTAGCGAAGAGTCGTTAAACAACTCCCTCATATACTGATCTTGCGAGGGAATCAAATAGTAGTAGTATTTGAACAGCGTACTCAAAATGGAGTAAGCACTGAGTGTCCTTTCATAGAAGGACATGTGATTTGAGAATGGAAAAGAGAAATCAGGAATGTACGCAAGGTTGAGAGAATTCCCGCTAGCTCGGTTTATAAGACTGATAGCTCCAAATGGTTGAAGATTGATTATGGGAGCTTTGAACTTGTGACCAAGGGCAAAAAGTGATTCTTGAGCAAAAAATGCCTCCAAAAATATCAAATCAAACTTTTCATTTGATTTAAGAAGCTGCTGAAAGTCTTTGTTATTTTTTATATTTTTCATTATCAAAAACCAATTCTTCCAAAAAATTGGGGTAGATCCCACTGGACTCATGTTTAACATCATCTCCAGCATTTCTTTGGTCACTGCAACATAACAGGGTAGATTTATGACAACAAAACATACAGCAGAAAATATTATTAACGGTAGCTATTAAATAGACGTTTCAAATTGATATGAATAGATTTTAGATTTTGGATAGTGTGAAAGTAGATTGGTTAAATGTTTATCCTGTTGAAATTGTGTGTTTTAAGTTGGTAGTCTAACATATGAGTGCACGGATGTAAACTAATCTTTTCTCTGTTATTTATGTGGATTTCTAAATTTTATAAACTCCTCTTAGGTTATAACCAGAAGTCAAACAATCTTTTTCACATTGGTTGCTAATGTAAGGTGAATGTATTGCATATTTGTCTCGTCACAGAGAAGGAAGGTACAGAAGAAACACTCAATTGTACTCCTAAGTAAGTAAGGTGTGAATGAAATAGTCGCTGGTGTCCAGGGAAAAGTCTAACACCACCCCATTCGCCCCCTTGTAGCCCTACTACAACACTTATGGTGGAGGAAGACCCTATATCCTGTGCAATAGGAATTTCCGCACAGTGCTTGCAGCTTAGGCTCTTCATTGCACAGGTATATTTCTGACTCAGCATACTAGAGCTGAAAGTGATGGTTGTCTCATAGACTTGTTTCCTTTTTACCTTCTTTATCTGATATCTCGTCAACGTGATGTGGCGAAGGCGTTTAGATATGGCAAGAATATTATCAAGGGGGGTTCAATAAGTATTTTTCAAATTAAGTTTACATTACAAACCAAATATTGTTAAAATTCATGATTTAGCCCCTGAACTGTTTATTAGACTAATATGATCAGGTACATACCTTTACGTCAACAGTTCAATTTTGTAGTAAGTAAACTCACAACATGTTTCGCCTATTCAGGCATCGTCAGGTGGTATCCTAGCAAGAATGCTTTGTCTTCATCCATGATGGAGTCGTCAAGAAACATTTATTTAATCATGGATGAAGACAAAGCATTCTTGCTAGGATACCACCTGACGATGCCTGAATAGGCGAAACATGTTGTGAGTTTACTTACTACAAAATTGAAATATTGTTACTGATGGTTTTGTTATTTGAAATACCCACTTGATTTATCAACTGGTTGCATGTTGTCCATGTGAATGACAGTTAGGTTTGCCACCTCCTGGTCGGCTGGTAGACCACTGTAGCAGACAACCTGATGTCCTGCCTGTGCCAGTGTCCTCAGCACAGCGTTAAACAGAATGTGATGACTCTTGGCAGGGATTGGCAGTACAGCAAGGATCCTGGCTGACATGGCAGGACCTCCGTAAGACATCAGGAGCAGCAGTAAGATGATGTTCATTGTAGATCTACAGACATATGTGACTAAAGACTAAAGTCATGGTGACATGTTACCTGGCAGATTTACAGTGTTAGTGCGTTGTTTGAATAACCCCAATTTAAAAATAAAATAAATTTAAGTAATTTATGCATTAAATGGTTTTCTGCAAAGTACATTAAGATAAAAGGCGAAGTGAGATAAAAGGGGATCCCTACTCTTTTCCTTGTTGAATTGTGTCGTTCTAATTTGCAAACTAGTAAATAAACTTTAGGCGTTTGTACTAAATTCCATCAAAACTGAATTATTTTACTTGAGTTATTGTAGCCTAATGACGGACACGCACACACTTATCTATCTATATATTAAAAATCCAATGTATATGTTTGTTTCTTTGTTTGTCCTTTATGGACTCCTAAACCGCTTGACAGATTGTAATGAAACTTTCAGGCACTATTAAGCGTTATTCAAGGATGGTTTGTGTGAAGTTTGGTGCAGATCCGTCAAAAGGGCTCAGCCCCAGTTGCTCTGGAGTTTCCCATGTTAACCTTATAGAAAACATTAAAATGGAATTAAAGAATAACAGCTGGTTCAACTAAACAAAAAAGTTAATAGGTTTACCAACAGGGTGCATCACTATTATTATTTTTTTATTTATGACAACAGCTTTGCAAATAAAAGGTGAGTGAGCGTAGCGAACGAATGTCAAGCTGGAGGCAAGTTAGCGTAGCGAACAGCTCCAACCTAAAGCATTTTGTGTTCAATGACCTTTGTACGGTTCTTTTCAACTTTTTCAAATCAATAAATCATACATTTAAAGGTAGGTGTAAGCAGACAAAAACTACAAATTTTTGTTCTGTGCAATAAAATCTGCCAACATCTGAAACTACGCCATTAACTCATTAACAGTGGTATGCTTGACTTGAACAATGAACATTAATTATTTCACTATTGTGTAAACCTATATAGTGGTGTACTAGCGTGACACTCCAGTAGGCGTATCAGAAACACCGATTTATGTGCATCAGAGAGGCATGAGAAGTACGTATGAATTCAATTAAATAGGTACCGATTTCCAAGAATTCCGAGGCTTTCTAAGAATCCTAAAGATAGAATCGATGCATGAGGCCAAACAGTGTTTTGTTATCATACAAACCCTATTTTGACCTTAAAAATTAAATTTCACGTATCATAATCACACTATTTTCAAAAATGCTTTATGATTATCAAAATATTAATTTTCCACTTAAAGCAATTCATTTTTACTTTAAGTTATAGCTCAATATAAACATACCAGCCCGAAAGCCTGCTATCTCTCACGTTCACGGTCAACCGGTCAGTGGTCAACACTGATATCTCCAAGTCCAAGCGTCCAAGTCCGTGCTGCCCCCCCCCCCTTAGGTGCTACGTCACAACTGAGGGCGGCCGCTACCCCCGCTGCCGCTATGCCCGCTACGCGGTGTAGGCAACGGCGTGGTCCTTTGTAAACACTTCATTTGTGCGAAAGCAACGCCGCCATTGCTTACATACTGTCATTCAAACGTTTACTAGGTGTACAATGCAGTCGTTTGCTTGAAATATTAAGAGGAACTAACATATTAATCCAATACTTTTCCAAAGGCAATCCTAAATTTGGTTAACGTAATATGGGAGGCATACTGGCCGCAATCTCATAATTCAATGCAAAATCTAGTTCAGATAAATCGTGGTGGAAGGTTCCACCATGAGATAAATGATATGTCTCCTCACAGTATCCAAAGTCAATGCTTTATCTGTTTCTTGTAAATTGGATATTGGATCTCTAAAGTTATCTATATTGTTATCTTGCAAAAAATGTCATAGCGACCAATAAACCCACAAAGGTCCATGTTATTTTTTTTAAATTTAAATTCAAGTATTTAAGTATAGAAATAAAGCCCTTTATATACAGTTCTTATTATTCTTATTCAGTTGTCTGGCTGCCGTTGCGAGCGGAAGTTTGCCCTCTGTCCTCCGCTAGATAGTAGTATTGTTGAATTCGGCTTTGGTTCTTCTGTAATTACAAAAATGTCGACATGTGGAAGATGTGCGTTTCCAGCAGCTGGCAAAAAAGATCCCTCTTTAGGTTGCCGGATGTGTCACAAAGGTTTTTCATGTGGCGTGCATGCGTGTAGAAATAATAAAAACGGTAAACTGCTCCCCAGCCAGCAGAAAAATCTTCGTAATTATTGTGTGATGCGTGTGAAGGGAAACCATAATCTCAACGTGGACATTTGGACTATGAGACTATATCTGTTGAATTCTATTGATATAGCACTCCGGATGATTTAGCTTAACATTAAATTAATGGAGGCCTCTGGAAATGGACATCGAGGTGTTTTTTTACTTCCCTTCGCTGGAAACAATACACAGGGTGAGTTTAAAGTCCCATCCCCCCTACCTTTTTCTTCAAACCCATCAATTTGTTTTAAGTTTTTGAGAAGGGGTTAGTAGCCTATTCATTAAATTTAAAAACATTTACAGGTTCAATGCAATACAGGTTCAAAGTTTTAATTTAAATCTGAACAAATTTCATTCTGTTGCGTTTATCCGAGTGCTAAAATAAAAATTAATCAATGCTTTTATTTCCTTTCGACTCTCAACGCTTTCAACCCACTTCAAACCCAATTCATCCCCGTTCATCCCATGGTTCATCCATCCACTAGTCCTATGGTCCTAGTCCAGTCCAGTCCTGAATCAGATCCAGATCAAAGAAAATGTCAACCTGTCACTGTCAGTCAAGCTGTCAAGCTGTTTCTTTCGTGCTTGCTGACCAGTGTTGCTTGCTGACGAACTGAAAACGAAATAAGTCAAGTCGTCAAGTGTCAAGTGTAACAGTGCAAGAGTGCAAGTCTTGAGAAAGTACAAACTAATTGGTTAGTTTGTTACTCCTTTGGTGTCGAATAGAATTGGATAAGAACCAAACAAAAAGTTCTTCCCAACAGCTCACGTATACAAATATTGTCAATAATTATTCAACTATTGTGAATTGTGAAGTTTGATTGAATGAAAATGTCATCGTGTTGGCCTATTCCCTTTGTTTAGGCCTAGTTTCATGTAAGTTATTGTTGCATTTGCAAGAGTCTGATCTGATTCTATTGAATAGGCCTAGTTCGCATTGTCAAGAATGCTGTTTGGTGTTGTTGTTAGTAAATCTATCTAAAGTTCTTATTTCTTTAAACAATTTTATGGAACTAATCTAGTTTTTGGTTGGATGGATATCAGCGAAGGCCTTACATGTGAAACCAATATAATGGTCTAAATCAGGAGGTATGTATCTTTTACTAATTTGTATGCCAACTAATTAATCTACTGTAGCCCCTACTTGCCAGCATAAAGCCTAATCTTGGTTCTCAATCAAGATGGAATTTATAAAGGGAGTTGTAATATTTTAAATACAGTACTTAAGGTACCTATAAGTTAGGCCTATACTAACCATTCAATATTGTACCTATGAGCCTAAAGACAAATAGGCCTAGGCCTAGTCTAGCCGACTTAAGTTAGATGTTAATATTTTTTTTGTAGGTAGGCCTAGTGTCAAATAACTTATGCAGCCTACAATCTACGCTCAGCAAGTTAGGCCTACCCTCAATTGTCAGGCCTAAGTCCTATATTACTCATCTTATCTATCAGAAGCAGGCCGAGACCATAAAGCACTTCATTTAAAGACGCCAATCCCAAGATTTCTAGGTACGGCTGTCAAAAATCGACCGTGATTGAGACCCCTACCTATATGGTGAAATCTAAAGCAAGTTATTATACTTTGCTAGGCCTATTAAAAACCATGAAATTGTGGAGGAACTTAAGTAAACTTGGGCCTGCACTTTAGTTTACTTCACACACTCATTCGAATGAATATATCGATCGATATATTGATTACTTCATTCGATATATCAGGTTAACCTTACCTATCTAACCGAATGAAATACCGTAATCGATATATCAATATTTTTAGTTCGAATTAGTGTAGGACGTAAACTATAGTGCAGCCTAACTTGGTAGGATAACATGGGATTTCAAATTTTTAGAACTGAACTTGAATTCCCAAATTTGAAGATATGCCCTCCATTCAGAATAATAATTTTCATTCAGTCGTGCAGTTGTTGAACGTATATTTGAACTGTTTCAGCATGGAAATCGAAGATCCCAGTATTATAGATTCTTGCCTGCACACAGAGATTCATAATGGAAGACTACATTACGACCAGTTTGAAAGAGTTCAACCTCTCCCATGTGATAGCATGGGCTTCCGCAACGGTGATGATATTCGGTGGCGTTGTTCCATTTATCCCTCAATATCGAGAAATCAAACGGAAGGGAGATGCAGAAGGCTTTTCTCTTTACGTGTGCCTTGTTCTTCTAATTTCTAATATTTTAAGGATATTGTTTTGGTGAGTTGCTCTCAGCACTTCAGCACAGTATAGAGTTTGGTTGATATTTAGGCTATGCTTAAAACATTAGTTTTTACAAAGTTTTCTAAGATGTTAACTCTGCATTGGCAAATGTTAAGGAATTTCCTCTGTTGTTAAGAATATATGGTTAATATGCATTTTAGGGTCTGTGCCCGATTTTTGAAATTTTGTTTCATTCTAGGCCTATTTGAAATTCCACACTGATTGCGAAAAGACGTTCTTTCCTTTTTCTGTAGTAGGCTAAAAAACAAAAACTCCTGAAAAACAAAAAAATACAAAATTTTTTTTATCAAATTACGTGGGATGTCTGTAGGTACATCTGTATGTAACCGGAATAACTAGCAAATCACAAATATGTAATATTTTTTACCTGATGTCAAATAAGCTAGCTTATATAAGAGATTAATCACAAAATGTATGTGACAACACTTTGCATTTCCAGGTGCGGTAAGAAGTTTGAGACTCCTCTTCTGATTCAAAGCATGATCATGACAGTTGCCATGTTTTTTATGATTCATGTTTGTGTTTCGGTGAAAAACAAGAGCCAGATTATCCGGGGTCCTGACAGACTTTTTACAGGTATTTATAATTTGATTACTAAGTTTTACTAAACTGTTAAGTTAAATTCAGAAGTCAAAATGTGTGGGATTTCCTCAATCAATTGGCATATCTAGTTCTGTTTTTAGTTTATTTAGTTTAAATCATCTTTAGTTTTAAGATAAGTTTTTTGACAAGTTATAAATATCTGACAGCACCTCTTAGCAGGTGGAAATCCTAATGAATTTATTGATTAATCAATAGAGATGATTTGGCCCCTGAGCTGAATTGATGACTATAACATAATTACAATTACTTCGTCACAGCCCTGAAGTTTCCGTTTATTACAGCCGTTTTTGCATTAGGCCTATAATGCCATCCTCAGATGTATATATCCACCAGATTTGGCGTCGTCAAACTTTACACACACACACGAAACACGAAAAACATATAAAACAAGAGAAAGGCCTGTCACGCACATGATGACCTATACAAGTACCAAAGCTTACTCAGATGTATATTCAGACACATAGATAATATATTTCTGAGTTTGGGTAAATATTGGAATAATTTGTTTTACATTATTGAGCTTTTTAGGGACTTATGTTATAGGTAAAAAATATAAACGTATAAACTATCACCTATTATAACCTTACATTCAGATGAAGTAGTCTTACTTGTATTAGAAAACTACATCGAGCTTTGTGCTGATAGAACCTAAGTTTCTCTAAACCATTTTTGTATTTTTTCCACACTTACCCTCTAACACCAGACACTTAGGCAGAGCCAATTTGTTCAAAGTAGTATTTAAACGTTATTTATCAAAATTAATTTGTAATACAGTATTTTGAAAGTGAGTTTTTGTGTAATATTTACCTACAGAGAATTAATAAATATGCTATTTATATTGTTTAAACATGATTAGCTTGACAAGTAAATAAGTTCCAAAGAATGTTAAAGTAAAATCTTACAAGAAACCTCTTAATTAGAAAAAAAAGTTTTGTCTCTTCTCTGAAACCTCATCATGATTAATGATGAAATTTCTTGTCTAATTGTGACAAGTTGTGACTCATGGTGTAATAGTGTGATAATTTTATGAGGGGTCACTGCTTGAGTGGTTGATTGTTGTTCAATGAGGTCGGCCTTTCATTCATTTTATAGCATGCGATTACCCACAGGCCCAATTCTGATCTTATCACTCTATTGATCAGGTATTTGACCTTTGGAGAAATTCTTGAATAAAGTGTTTTTTTTAATCAAGAAAATAATAAAATATATTTTTGTTGTTTCTTGCACACCATTAATTGTATTGTAGTTTTAGTGGATAAATGATTCTATAGAAGTATTAAAACAAAGCAGAGCCACCCTCATTAGCAAGTGATCTTGATAACAAGTGTAATTTTTCAATACCCATGACCTTGTATTTTACCCCCTAATCAAATGTTATTGCAAACCTCGATAAGAAGTCTACTTCGATAACAATAACAAGACTAATTTAACAAAATATTTTAGTGAAATCTTGACAGGCAAATGGAAATTTGCTTAGTCTGCAGGTTGTCTGCGGGTGGGGGATGAATTAAATTCTCATGGATATATGTTTACCATTGATAATACCAGCTCCACACTACAGAAATCAAATGACATTTTTTAGTTCTTGTGGTACGGTATTTTTTATATATTTTTTGTACTGAATGGCACCAAAGTAGGATTGACTTTAATGATACAAAATTAAATTGTCAGCGAGGTAGAAAAGTACTCTTCCATGAATCTTAAATCTTTCCATATTTTTTAGTTTATTTCTATTGCTATTTACTTAATAAAAGATGTTATTTGGGGGTTATGAAATTTTTAGTCCTATGTAAAATAGCTCGTTTTTTTAGTAGTTATCTGAATTAAAATAATAATAGTCTTTATTTGTCACAATAGTATCATTGACAGTGACACCAGGTCATACTAGTTATTTTCATCAATTTGTGTTCAGTTGAAGTGAGAAGTATTTATGTCCAGTGTTGGATGGGTGTCAAAATATACTGCCCATAAGCATATACACTGATTAAATATATTGTCCATAGGCTTATACACAGTGTTTTTATATATTGCCCGTAGGCATACACTGTTTAAATATATGATGCATAGGTCTATAGGTTTAAATTTATAGTTCTTGAATTTGTCTTTAGTTTACTCTAATAAGTTGAAATATAATTAATTATCAATTACTTCAATAATTTTATTATTTTTATAAGATGTAGTGTAGGCCTACAAGTTTTAAAATAGTACAAACAGTGGTGTCATAGCAGTTTTTGCAGTGAAACGGTGCACCTGGCCCAGAATAGTATAGGGCCCCCTCCCCCAAACTACACGAGCAGACTTGTTTATGTTAATTGTTAATTGAGATGTGAGATTGCCCAAATTAGCGTTTTTAATTTTTGACAAACTTTCTGAGGTTATTTTATGCTGTCTGATAACTTGTGTCGAAACTTACATATTTACACCAGAATATTATTTTTACCAACAAATATTGTTTGCCTTATAGTGTATTTTAGGTAAGGATTTGATATTAGGCTATCCAAGGATAAATATGTCAAACACTTTATAATGTTGTTAAACCAATAAAAACCACTTTTTACAAGTATTTTGGCAAATAAAAAGGCCTTATTTTATATTATAGTTTATGAAACAGCATTCTAAATAAATGAAACAGATTTTTTCTTCTTCATATTGTTTGGGTTTGGTCCTAGCTGGTTAACCATTCCATTATTTGAAGTGTTCATGTGCTATCTGCTACATATGCTATGTCTTTAAACAACGAATGGTGACCATGTCAAAGTGGCGTAGTTTGCCAGATTATGGCAACATTTAGGTCATGTTGTATATTCATTCTTAGGCCTACGGTAACAACATTTTTATTACACACCTAAAATTAGTTTTAGTTTTTTGTACATTATTGTTTTGTAAGTACGGACAGATATTACTTTATTCACAATTAAATTTGTTATGACAGCTTTTATTAAACTTTTTTCATTTGTGCAAAACCAGCGCTGGAATGGCGTTCCGGTGCAATCCGGCACCATGACACCCCCGATATTAAAATAGTTTGAGTAGGCTTACATTACAATATGAATTTAATTGGTTTTAAACATTAAAAGAAAGAAGTTCTGTTTTTCTGTTGGGTAATTATCTTTTTGTTAGTTCAATTTGTTAATCTCGTTTGCTTACTGATAAGAGTCTTTCAAGTTTTGTGTCATCACTAGATAACTAATTATGTAACATTAGATTGAACTACTTCCTCTTCCAAGCATTCATTTTTTACACAGTAACATCAACATGGATTTTATTCTCTGCCGTGGGGTGAGAATACAGAAGTGAATAATTCGGTTTTTAAAATCTACTATAAGAAGCAGTTACTACACACTTACCAGGAAACATATAGGCAAAGCTCAATCCTACTTATTGATTATTTAAATGCAGATATCTTAATGTATTACCAACACTTGTATAATGTATTGCATTTAAAATATATGCAAAAGTCTAATTCATTGACCATATGGAACCAAGAAACAAATCTTCGTGTTAACAAATTTAATCAAATAGCAGAAGAAAGCATAACAGCTGGGTTAGTAAATTTCTTGTGTAAATAAAGATTAATTGTCTATTGTCTAGGCGTCTTCATAAGAAATCTATTGGGAATTCGATGGCCCGTGGGACAAAGTTACACTTACACAGCGAGGACTTTTATTACAGGAATTGGTGAATGGTCTACACAAAAATTACTTAATTTTGACAAGTTGTTTGTAAAAATCTGTTCATTGTTAACGGAGGAGTAGTGTTTCGTAGAAATCGCCTTCAAATATTGTATAAGGACTAGTGCACCTGTTGCTCAAATTCAAGCAATTGCAAGGTGTTACAGCTGCGTTATTTTAAAACGAATAACAGTCATAATTTCCGATGACTTAAAAGAGCCGACTCAAAGATAATGTAATCAATCACTCCACTCCAGTTATCGAAACTGAAAATGACCTCACTCTGAAAACAAACGCTCTTGTGTGTATCATATGTTTACTATGAACAGCTGTAATTATTACAAATTATTTGTCTGTTTAAGTAAACAAAATCTTTTCTTCATAAAAAATAAATTGGGATTTTTATGGTCTGTGGGGCAAAGCCCGAGGACTTTTATTACAGGAATTGGTGAAGGGGGGTGTCTACAAAAAACTATTTAATTTTGACACATCGTTTGTAAAAATCCGTCCAATATTACCGGAGGAGTAGTGTTTTGTAGAAATCGCTTTCACGTATCATAAGAGTAAGTCTTCTAACTACTCAATTTATTTACACTTAAATTGTAAACTTTTCAAAACAGTAAATGTCTAAAAAAGATGTAGGTTTTGTTAATGAAATAATTGTTGGCCACTTCCTTTTGCAACATCAACAAAACCTGGATACTCATTTAAAAACAATTTCTTATATAACCATTTATTTTTTTTTTTCAAATAAAACAATAATTGTGATTATGATTTACTAAACAGTTCATGTTATTTGGTTTTACAGGTAGTTACTAGTTAAATATATAACATTTAGAACATGTTGTTTATTTTATGCAAAACATTACCTTATCACAAATAAGGTACAAGAATAGAATAAAACATAAGGGTACAGATATAGTGTTATTATCATTTGACATTTAAGGAGATTTTATAAAAAAAGAAATGATCTTTTACTCATTAGATTAATTATACATGTAATTATTTTGATTATGTTGAAGGTAAATTAAACATCTGGACTCCTGTCTTAACTGTGAAAAATAGTAATATTTATTGACTTTTTATTGTTGTATTTATTTCTAACGAACATTTACAACAGGTGCCCCAAGCGTTCAAGTGGTGAGACCGGCAGTTCGTAGGTCATTAATGGGTATGTGAGAGTAATTATCGGGTTGTAACGTAAATGGTAAATGGTTGCGGTTGCTAGTCACTAGAAAGCATTGTAGATATTCATCACATATAGAGATCACTGAATATAATGGGGATTAATCTTTGGTGTCCCTTTGGCTGAATAGGCTATTGATTTAACAAACTTAATGGTAACGGTTAGTAATTTTAAATGAGTAATTGTCATTAACCACCACAAATGTAAAAATATTAAACTGTAGGGTTTGATTTAAATTGTTAAACTTAAAGATTGTGTGTGTAACAAGTCAGGAAATGGTATTCTCACAAAATCGTTATTAGCTCGATATGGTTTTATTAGAAGCACTTAATTTTTGTGGTTCTGGTGTGTCATTTTATGAGGTTGAGGTTATTGACAAGCCTTAATGAACTAACCAAACTAATAACATTAAAACACACCTGTCACATTAATAAAGTAAATATAAAGTAAACACTTGGTTTGGATTGTAACAATGTCTAATCTTTGGTTTTTGCCAATAAAGGTTACAATCCCTTAAAAGTATATTTACTCATAAAAAACATTCCTATTGCTTTCAGTTTGTAAATGTCCGTCCTGCTAGTAGAAAAACCATTTTGTCCTACTATCATAATTTTTTTATCTGCCACTTCTGTAGCTATTTTTAGGAACATTATTGAATTTATTTATTTTTCTGCTCCTCAACTTTTTACAGATTTATAATGTTTATATCGAATGTACACAGTACACATGTACAGTATATGCAATAGATGCAAGAATCAACACTGTTCTAAACAATCGCTGAGTTAGTTTTGTCAATTTTCAGTCACTAGAATAGAGTAATAAGAACAATAGCTTATGTCGTACGTGTAATTTTAGCACCTTGGTATGTCAAGTCTTTGAGCCTTACTCGTCATCGTGCATAATTTCATAGTCGTTACTGTAGAAAACTCACGCCATTGTAAACATTGCATGGCAATTATGGAAATTGTTTAAGAGAATTGCTACTAAATAAATTACACCTGTACACTCACATACACTTTTGGCAATCTTTGCTTTTATTTAATTCTGTTAGTTATACACTTATCAATTTATTGTAGTTCTCATTTTATTATTGTAGCTTAAATAGTAGAAGAAAAACTGTTTGTAATTTACATACTACATTTTTTTATTAGTGAGAGTATGAAGACATTTCATATTGTTATTATTATTTTTGTAATACTGTGCACATTAACCCTTTGAGGCCGAAATGCTAAATTTATGTATATACTAATTAAAAATTTGGTGGTGACTCTTAGCCCTTTTTTGGGAAAAAAAATTTTTGATAATATAATTTGTTCCCATTGTTGCGTGAGGCACTAGATCTGAGTGATGCACGGTTGCACAATAACTGAAATATCTTAGTTGATTATCACTTTTTATTAACAATCTGGGCACCGTTGAATTCGTCAAAGATTTTTTGGAAAAAATATACAGGGTGAGTTTTAATTGTCCCCCCCCCCAACTTTTTTCTACATTTTTTCAAATATCAATCCCAGACCACTTCCAAACATTGTTGGGTAGTAAGTACTTCATTTTGACAAGGTAGTCATTTCCGGCCGCCATCTTGGATCCGCCATATTGGATGCACAATTTTTTTTTCAAATGTAAAGGTGGGGTTGTGACCCATCATTTCGAACTAAATTTTTACCCTGATTACAATGCCACAAACCGTTTTCAAAAATCTTGATTCATTCTAAAGTTATGAGGGCTTTTTAAAACTTTATTTTTAGCCCATTTTAACATTATGCATTTACAAACTAAGACCATAATCTCAAAATAGTGCTAGATAAAGGGGGGGGGGGACAATTAAAACTCACCCTGTATACAAAATAATATAGCCTATTTTTGTAAAATTACTGGTTTTTAGATACAAATTTAAAATGACTGTCATTTTGAATCAATAAACAGTAGAAAGCTGATGCTTTGTGTGCAGATATGTCCTATTTGTCTTCATATATGTACAATGTTTGAAGTAAATTGAAGGTATAATTTTTCTTAAATTTTTGCGAGTTACACTTCAGTTTAACAATTAGAAGAAATTATCAGATTGGTTGAGCTTTTATCGGTAATTGTCCTTAGCCAACAAGACATTAGAATGAGGACAAGATTATTTGTGACTCACTTGAAATAAGCGCTCAAGTAGACCTAATATGAGCTAACTTAAAACTTTTGGGTTGATTTTTCAGTACTTCATTCAGGTATTGATATCTCGTTGAACCTTATCCCATAACTCATGTAATCAGCTGCATTATTTGGGTGTTTCTGTTTTATAATATGTTCCAAGTGCACTGCAGTATATTAACTCTTCACAAACACATATTTTAAGTGGAAAGAAAAAAGAACCAAATTTAGCAGTTCCAATGAAATTGTCCTTGTGTACTTTTAAATTCAGCAAGAAAAGTGATAACTGATAAATTCATTTTTGCTTCCACCTGTTATCATTAACCTTGAGTCTTATCAGACTAGGTCACACCATTGTCACGTGTGCGCTCTTTGGCAAACTACACAAAGAATGTCTAAATTAGCAGCTACCATGAGTAAGATACAATAAAAAAAAATAAAAAAACTGCTTAAATTCATCATCCACAGTGAAAGCTAACTTGTCACTCCAAACTGTTCAATATAGCCTCTGTAATGTATGGTAAAAAAAAGTTACTCAATTTTTTGTGTGGAATTTGAAAAGGGGGGGGGGGTTAAGAGTAGAAAAAATTGTAGTTATTTTTTGTTAAAAAGTAGTGCCCATTGAGGAGGTGTAGTCTAGCGAGGTTGTCATTCCTTAAAGGTCTTGTCACAATTCACCTTTACAAAAGATAAAAAACCTCATCTCAGATACAAAAATTAGTTTCAGATTACGTCATAACATCAAAACTACCGTCTGTTTACTCAGTTGATAAACATCTGTGAAATTCCTCAACAGTTTCAATAGCCTTTAAATTAGACGAACAATTTTTTTTATCATACATTGGAGTTCTGATTGTTCAAATTGATTTGGGCCAGACCCATTCCAGATCAAAGAATATTACAGTAAGCAAAATCATAACATTTTGTAACAAAATACTATTATTATTATTTTGTGATTTTGCAAACTGATTCAGGATTCACAGTTTTTAAGCACAGTTTATTTTCCAATAATCCCTGTTATGATAACACTACAGACTTAAACTTCAGGGTTCAACCTTGTCACACAACAAAACTTATAAATAAAAGCTTCGGTCTCGTTACAGATAGCCATCTTCGAAGCAGTTAACTGGACCATGTGTCTTGCGTTGCGCTCCTACACTGTACAATAATATAGAACATTAGCGCTAAACACTGAGACAAAGGATAGGATAGGCAGGCTTACCTTTAGAAATGTAGGCATCCCACTTCACTACAGTAACACAGATGAAAAAACAAAACAAAAACACTGAATATTTTGAGGTCACTGGCCCCTTTCTCAACATTAGATCATCACATACATTAGACACAACATGAGAATCACTTTAGATACTTCCATTCCAGAATGTTGAGAAAGGGGCCAGTGACCTCAAAATATTCAGTGTTTCTTTTGTGTTTTCTTCTGTGTTACTTTAGTGAAGTGGGATGCCTAAATTTCTGAAGTTAAGCCTGCTTATCCTTTGTCTCCTTATTTCTCAGGCAATAAGCCCTTTCTATTAAATCTTTACACGTTAAATGATAGCTTTTAGTTAAAGTCTTGCTCTGTGAGAAGATTGAACCCTAAAGACCAAGTTTCTAGTGTTAGTGTTAGTGACTGTGGAAGCTACAGTCCCTATCTCTTTTTAACTGTGTTTATTTCAATTTTTCCTCTTACACTAATCTCTCGCCTTTTTTAACAGATTTTGAATGGAGGTATTTCTGGCAGTGGACAGACTTCTGGTCGTACGTGGAGTGTGTACTCAGTGTAACACTCATGTTTTCACTGACAACATTCGTCTTACGGGATTCAAAGTTTTACATCGAGGCGCTCGGTTTTGCCGCTCTGTTCACGGAGGCCATGCTCGCTGTGCCGCAATTGGTGCAGAACTTCCGCAACAAGTCCACTGAAGGCATGAGGTAACTCAATCAAGTCACTTTATTTTCAAAAATAAAACACACTCTAGCAAAACTAGATAAAACACTTAATCTTATAATTCAATCCTACCTTGAATCAATATTTAATTTTTTTTATTGTATTATCCCTTTAAACCCCCTGGATTGAATTGATTGAAGTAATTTTTGAATTTACTTCATCATATATTAAGAATTTTTCTAATTTAATTGAAGTATTTTTATAGTTTTTCCTCTCATCTTCAAACAATATTTAAAGCAGGTTTTTGGTGGGATACACAGTTGGGATGGGTTGAAATTAGCTAAATGCCTGATTAGTCACTCATCCCATCAAGCTCTACCACAGACCTGACGCCTACAAGCCATTACACCTAGACTGCTCAACCAAAAGCTCAAACATAGTATAGTAGTGGTAAACTTTACCCCCAGGCTGTAGCACATGCCGTACAGTCATTCGTATAGTTGTAAGTGGAAGTTTGATTGTGTTACTCTTATGGTGTTCAAGAGAAGAAACTGTTGTTTGCACCTCAAATCCATCAGTCAGATCTAGGTCTGGACAAATTAAGTGGTCAATCTTAGGCTGTTAAAGTTTGAATCATGTTTCGCTGGATTGTTTTTGCTTTTTATTGACATAGGGTCACAACTGGGTGTAATCCAACCTAAATATGAGTAAAACATTCAAATAGAATGGAGTGTGATGCCTTGTGTACTTTTGTTACTGATCAAGACCTGACTACGATCTATTGACCAGAATCGTATATTTATATCCCAATGCTCAAGGAGAGTTCGGTCCAATTTTGAACATAAAAAAATTTCTTTTCCTAGGATTGAACTGGCATCCTTTTATTGGGCAAGCACTACAACCACCAGTTTATATTTGTTGGTAAAAGAAACTACAAGTTATAATAACACAAACAATCTCACCATTACCAACATCAGATAGTTGTGAGTTTAATTGACCAGCACGTGGTTGTTTCAGCGTCCTAATGGTGGTCATGTGGCTGTTTGGAGACTGTTTCAAGACAACATACTTCATTCTGCGTGACGCTCCTGCGCAGTTCTGGCTCTGCGGCTCGCTGCAGATCGTCATCGACATCTTCATCCTAGGACAAGTCTACTGGTACCGCAATAACATTAGTTTGCACATTAGTAGAGCTGACTGACCCGAGGCAGATAGTGAGACTAACTCGGACACTAACTCTTCCCTCGCTGTCTCTGTGAGCGTCTATACCTTTGAAAGCACTTGTGAGACTTATTGCTAAAGGGTATCCAGGCAAAACCATTGACTTGTGGATACAAGTAGACATCCCATGTGTAGCCAATAGTAGAATGCGCTATTCACAGTGCTACATCAAATGTATGCTACCACCTATATTTTAAAGGAAGTCACAAATTAATGAGTGACAAATTAAGAATTTTTTGAAAAGAATTAGAGTTTTAGCTTACCTGAGAAAATTATAGTAGGCCTACAGGAGCAAAAGATGCACAGTAAAAAGTCACAAACATATATTTGTATTTGTTTTGCTGAACAAATTTTTCTGGGTGCATTCTATGGGTATAAACATTACTTGAAACTGCCCTGTTTCCAAACGATTTGATAATTTTGGGCGTGACAACCAACGCCTCTTTGCACAACTTTCTTCTTAACAGCCTGCAACAACAGCATACCAGCTACACATCTGACCTGTATCGTGTCCATATTGGAACGGTCCAAATGTCAGTCACATTGGGCGAGGACAGTCGGTGGCGTTCTATACGCTCGTGTAGTCAATGCTCTCGCGTTCAATCCGCTGCTGATTGTCTGCTTCGTGTAGTCCTAAACATTTTTGGGCGTACTATCGGCGGCGTTTAATTCGCTCGTGTAGTCCTGTCCTAATGTAGGACTGGTACGGAGAGTTCTACAAGAGAAGTCTTCTTCAATAATTTGTTCTGAAGTTTCTATGCAAATTACACTTTGTAGAAGTCTTATAATAAAAATAAATATCAATGTCATGTTTTGTGACTTTACACTGTGTATCTATTAGCCCCTGGATTCTTAATTTTCTTAGTTAAAATAGCTAATCTCTTTCCTTAAATAATTCCTGTTTCCTCCCTAAATTTTTGTCTCTGTAATAGTTGATTTGAAATAGGAGATTGCCAAATTTTACAATAAGTACTTTCAGTTTGGCTGAGTTTAGTAGTGGTTTTATTTAACATGAATCAGTAATTGACACAGCATACCCCTTGGGTAGCTCAATTCAACTGTTTTTTTATATTTTTAAATTGGCTACATGTTTAACGTGAGAATCGGATGTCTACTTGTATCAATAGGCAAAGGTAAAACGTACATGGTTCAGGTGCCTCAGCTCCAATAAATTTATTAATTTAATTAAAGATTTTAATGTAGATAACATTATTGAGGAAATATTAGGATAAAGGGTTACAGGGTTGAGTTGGTGTATACAAACTTGGAATTTTTATAGGCAGAAATTGTTGATTTCAGGCGCTTTTTTTAAATGTTAGACTACTTATAGGCCTGCAATCTGTAATCTGAGTACAGCTGACTCTTGGTTAGACACAATTGGGACTTTTGCAGTGTCATCATCATCTAAAATGCCACATCTGAAATGCATTGTCTGAAAATAGCTGTTACTAGCACATTTCTACTATAGACAGTCAAAAAGCCATTTTGCGTTTGTCTACCCTTGACCGAGGCTTGCAAACTCTGCCGAACATGTCCGGTATGCTTATTCAATCCATACCAATGTCCAATACCTCTTATTGACTAGTTAGTGACATATCCTGCTTGATAAAACAATCAGCTTATACACGAAGGTATCATTAGTTACTTACCGATACACATAAGACATTTTGATTTTTGGATTGCCACTCGCTCATTACATTATCAGATTTGTAATGGAACTGTACAGTTAAATAGCCATTTTTTTTGCTCTGAGAACCAGGATTTCACATTAATAATACACCGAGCACAACGGTTTCATAAATTACCGAGCGTAACTTAAACGAGAAGAAATATTGGAGCTGAAGGACTTGCAAACAATTACAGAAAAGAGTGATCTACGAATTTGGTTAGCTACAAAAACTTTGTGGTGTACACACGGTGTTGGGCAGACTTTTAGCATTCTACTCGACAACTGGATACAAGTTATTGTGACTGGTTTTGAATGTATCTCTTGTTTCTGTTGCCATTTTCTTTTTTTTAACAGTTGTAAAAAACCTTTTTTAAAGTTGCAAAGTAGGTCAACAAAATCAGCTAGATTATAGTTTGAAGATTTATTGAACTTTAAATACAAACATGTTAAAAGATGATTTGATAAAACTTTGACTTTTCTAAAGTATCAAGTTTTTATATAGTTTCTCAATGCAGCTACTAATATGACCAACATTTAATAGCCGAAAAATCATTATTTTTTAAATACTATGTAAAAACCAAATGATAAATTTTCAGTAGGAGCAGTTAATTGCACAATACTTTTACCAATTAATAAATTACACTTCTTTTGAACTGTCAGAATAAACACCAGTAATTTATTTGAATTATACGACTGGCATGAGAATGAGTTTACTTGTGGGTTAACTTTCAACTTGGGCTGAATTTAAACAAGTTTGGACAATTATAATTGTGAGTTCATATGTCCCACATTGTTTCTACTGCCCAAAAATTAATGTTTTACTTTTGCAAAATTCATTGTTTTTTTTTTTTGTTCATCTAAATAAACTATAATTGTCTAAAATGTTTTAAACATCATTTATAGGAAGGAATGAGGAAAAGACAATCATGCCTCCTCTAACAAATGTTTATGCTTTGCCCGAAACAATTGTTTTAGGATTATTTTTGTTTTCATTTTATGGCCCACGTTGGACCACTTAAGTCATCTTAATGGGAAGATTTTTTATTTTCCTTGTCTTCTGCTTTCTCTTTTCCCAGTAGGCCTACTTTTTTTATCTAGTCAGACCGTAGTTTTCTTTCTTTGTTACTTTTATAACCTGGTTTTTGTGATTATTGATCTCAAACTCATATAACATTTCTAAGGAAAATTACCGTAAATACCTGTTTTATAATTTCAATCAGCAACATTTTTAAGCAACGGTTGGATTTTAGAATGAAGTATTATAAATATATAATTTTGGGAATAAGTAGTTGTAGTTTTATAATTTTTTAGTAGGTAATATATAACACTTAAGCCACTGGTATTAATGGAGAAAAAAATGTTTTCTAAGTACTGCAAACTTAATCTATTTTTCTATATTAAATAAAAAAGGGAATAGTTTACTGCTACTAAATCTTTTACTAAACAAACTGAAATAGTCGAATATTTTACTAGTCTACTATAGTTCGGCCGCTTAGAAAATGACCTGCGCGCTAATGCTAAACCAATGCTGGAGGAGGTCGCTTTCTAAGCGGCCGAACTATAGTCTATTTTTATGTTTTAAAAGTCATGTCTGTTAGACAACTCATTTTTCCCATTTTTATAATTTTTTATCCGTCAAGGAAAATATTAATCATTTACTGATACTTCTTAACACTCTTGTAAGCAAAAGCCATTATTTTATTGTTAAGAAGAAACAGTTTGTTTTAACAACATATCTGGTGTGTTATGTTAGTTTTAATGTGAAAATACATGACTATACATCCGTCCATTTGTTTTGCGTTACTCTAGTTAGAATTGAAAACAAATGTCCCTGAAATACAAAATATAAACACCAGAGAAGGGGTCTAGTCACGTAGTATTGTACCAACATTAATATTTAACTGGCATACCATGTGAATAGTATTTTACCCTAGGTATTGTGATATCCAGTATATTCCAGTGGTTTCAATCTTTTTTGGCCCTTTTTGTGGGTGTTTTAATTTATAAATTGGAGGAACAATTCATTACGTTGACTATTAAAAATGAAGTTTTTTAAATTTGCTCAGTTAAGCTAATTCTGAGGTCAATCAGTTGGTAGTAGACACAGAAAACTTGAAATCTTCTTCAATGAAGGGAGTTGAACTCAGCATGACAACTTTATATAAAATCAAACTTTTATTGCCAACAAATATTGTTCCTCAAAATGTTAGTTGTATAAGTCAAAGGTAGGAGCTCCATCAAGCATTTGTAGAACTTTTTTTGTCAAAATAATCTTGTCCCACTTTGATCAACAAACAACTTGGTTGAACAAACATTTACTCGGTTGTTGTCTTTTATTAGTTATTATAAATATTAGTTATTATAAACCTCAAAAGCTATACAGCTATACAGTCCTCTATAGATGACTCATTAACGTAACTTGTTTCAACAAATCGGTGAGGTTATTAATTGTTTGTGGTAATTTCGTAAATTTGTTTGGAAACAGTATTATTGCTTATATACACTTTTTTAATAGTAGTATGAAGTTGAAACCACTGGATAATCTTTGTCGTATCGTTATCTCATAGATTTAGGTAGCATTAAATGCACAGGCTTTTAAGCCATTTAAACCACCAATGTAAAGTAACCCATTTCATTAAGTCATTTATAAATACACACAAAAAAAAACATTCAAAATACGCAAAAAATATATTTTAAAAGACATCTTTCTGAGGTTTTGCATATCTCACTTTAATTATAGTGCATATTGCAATTAAATTAAGTGTATGTAGTTATAGGAATAATTATTTGAAAATATTTATCGCTAAACCTTATTGAAAATGAACCAATGTAGGTATAGATTGTTTATACATATCTCGATCTTAAAATAAAGGTATATTTTGAGCATTTCCCTGTTTTAATTCAATTCCCAACTATTTAAAATTAACTTTCAACAATTACACATATTTTTTTTAAAGAAACAATTAAAATTCTTTTGCTTTCCATAATAAAAAATTATAACATTAATGAGGCCTACATTAATAGTAAGTAAGAACGGGTGCATCTAAAATATGTTTTTTGTCAAAAGATGCATTTAAAGTCCTGAGATGTTAGACTGAACCACTTAGCACTCGGTTCAGTCCAATTTAAGGAATTCGGAGAATTTTCGAGGATGAGATTTGATTGTGTTTAGGTACAACGGAGGTGTGGAGAAAACCACGGTTGTGGTGGAGAACATTTGGTACACTCACATTAACTAACATGGTAGGCCGTAAGTTTTTCTCTTTTGTGTCGCTTATACAAAGACTAACGTCACGCAGCTGTGTTGTCAACCACGTTTGTTATTTACGCTCGTCAATTGTGTATGGTTCTCTAAATGTCAAAATATTGTGTTCAACTGTCATATTTTTGTGCTAAGCCTGTGTCAAGTTGAACGAGTTTCTAACTTTATGTAACTGAAAAACTATTATAGTACAACCCCTCTAACTGGCTAAATTGATACATGAGCTCTTATAGTAGAGAATAGAATGATTGTCCTGTAAAAAGTAGAAAAAATTCTGAACTTTCAACTTAAAGTCATGAAACAAACGCCTCAGGGGTCTCTGTGCCTATATGTGGGGACGCCATCTAGGTGCGTATTTTAGCCCAAATATGAGTGTAGAATGGAGTGTGATGTCTTGTGTAACTTTGTTACTGACTAAGACCAACTGTTTCATTAGTCAGGACCATTTATTGAATGCCCAATGTTAAGGAACAGCTGAGTCGAGTTTCAAACCATCAAAAAGCTACACATTATTATAGTCAGTCAGTATACATTCCTCTAGTATTTTACCCTATACTTTTCCTGTCTTCTCATAAAAAGACCTTAGAATGCCCCACTTAACCCATTAACATGTGATTCTTAGGGACATGAAGGTGTTCAAATATAACAACCCATCATAATACAGATATTAGAAGTAGGTAAACCAACTTTTAAATCAAGGGAAATATCATGATGGATTTCAAGGGCCAATTCAATTTAGGATCATATAATAATATAGTTGGACTTAATAGATTTTTGAATTATTATTTTTGTTTCATTTTTAATTTATTTAGTCTTTTAATAGGCCTAATCTTTATAAAACTTCAACATACTTAACTTGAAAGTAGCATGAACTTTAGAGGTGAAAACTGAATAACTTAAATTAGAATGAAAATCCAAAAAAAGGGCGAATCAAAATGAATTCTGGAATCCATGCAGTTTCTAAATCTTCAGTTTTAATTTAAATGCTATTAATCAGAATGTACTGTTACTGTGTGGTTTGCCGTTTTAATTGCATCTTTGCTGAAACTGAATATGTTTAGGCTACAGTGAAATAATTGATATCTGTTGATTATATAAATGATTATTTCAAATTGAATCAAACAAAATATGAATATTTCTCTTATTGTTTTTCGTTTTCTTCCTTCTCATTGTTTAATCTCCAAGTGGGTTGCATGCTGTTAAAACTTAATGTGGTTTCAGAATCTTTACTAACAAACCTATTTGAGTAATGGATTTGTAAGTAGTGTGTTGTTGTTGGTTTATTGTTACATTTGTACTTAATTTGTCTTCTTCTTACTCTCTTTCACTATGAATTTCAGCTATCTAGACTAATACAAGGCTGTCATTTGAAGCCAATAGTTTTTTAAAAGCAAAACAACAGTTGTAACTTGAATTTTAACGAATTTGTATTTTAATGATTAATCTTGTTTGTATTTCACTTCGTAGTTGACTACGAGTATACCAAAATGAGCATTGACATTCTAATTCAAAATTTGTCTAATTCGTAAGTCTGGAATTGTGTAAGACTAGTTTGCTGGACTACTCTCCTTTTGCTTCATCTGCATACAGATGTTTTAGGATGTTACTAAAAAAATATGTTAACAAATATTTATACACTTTTTGAAAATAGGTATTTTTATAAAACACAGTTTAACAGTGTATAGTTAGAAATACTCCTTTTTGCGGCTTTCTCTAACATTGCATTTGTCTCGGGTCTGCGTGCGCTTATTATTTTATAAGCAAAAGTGGAACAGGGCAGTATAAAAACACAAAGTACTTCATTCCTCCCGAGGGTAGTTATGTTTTGGGGGTTTGTGATGACACGTTGGTAGCACAGGGTGGCGCACCACTCTGAAAACATCGCAAACACACGATTGTGTATTTGGTTGTTTAGGTCGACGTTATTGACAAAATCCTTTTGTTCTATTTTTTATCATGCAATAAAAGAGTAAACTGCAACATTATCTTAAGTTAATTAAAATTATTTTCAAATTGTTAGTCAAAATTTCAATTTTTCAATTTTCGGCCCTCAAAAATAATACTTATGATAAAAATATGTATATTTGAGCTACCCTAGTTTTTTTATACAGGGTGTCCCGGAACTCTCTACCAATATTTTAGGGCATTGCTCCTGGGTAAGAAACATAACTAAATATCATATTTAAACTGTCCGGAAGTCCTTAGTTACTCACACAGCCGCCATTTTGTTTTTTTCGGTTATTAATTTTTTCTAAAGAATGGTTAAACATACGAAATGGAAACTTTGCACAAACATGTATGACAACTAGACAAAGCTACCAAAAAATTGTCAAGACTTTTCAAATTCATAAAACAAAATGGCGGCCTTTTAACATTTTTGTAAAATCAATGGCTTTTGAGTTATTTAAGAAAGAAAATTTTAAATGGCCGCCATTTTGTTTTATGAATTTGAAAAATCTTCAAAATTTTTTTGTAGCTTTGTCTAGTTGGCATAAATGTTTGTGCCAAGTTTCCATTTCGTATGTTTAACCATTCTTTAGAAAAAAAATAATAACTGAAAAAACCAAAATGGCGGCTGTGTGAGTAACTAAGGACTTCCGGACAATTTAAATATGATATTTAGGTACGTTTCTTACCCAGGATCAATGACCTAAAATATTGGTAGAGAGTTCCGGGACACCCTGTATATGCTTTCGCTTTGACTACTAGAAAACATGTACTGTATTTCCAAATTCAGCCTCGACAAATAGTATCGGAAGTAGTTAAATAAAAATACATGTTTTGCCCTTTTTAGAGGGGTGCTGAAGACTCTTAATTTATGTTTAAGAAAAGATTTATTTATTTAGAAAAAAATGTTCATAAAAAGTGGTTCTTAAGAATTTTGAAGAGTGCGTTTATTATAATCAAGACATCTTCTTCCATATGAAATTGAATTTATGCATTGCTTATTTAAAATATTATATCATGATCTTAGTGTTTTATGGTAAAAATGGGAGTGGGCATGTCAATATCTTATTTATTTCATTTGCATGGTGGTTTAAATAGAAATTTTCATGGTAACAGGAATTCAAATTTGCTTTAGGTTGGGATTGTATAAAAAAATTACAGAGATATTCTATATTTGGGTGCCACAATCAGTTAAAAGCATGCCGTAAGAATAAATGCAAAATATTTGGTTTAAGTTGAAATGGAATTGATTACCTTCAAACATTTACACTGGCATTTGCTATAAATAGTTTCTAAGTTTTGTCATTATATATGGTCAATAATTCTATTCTACAGCTTTTAAAAGAAGGGACCTATTAAAATCATTTTAGTTTGTTTATTCATATATTATTTTCAAACTCTAGGCGACTTCTGAGATTCAAAAACCATCTTTAGTATGTTCACAAAAAGATTTAGACACATTTTTTATTGTTTTTAGGAGTTGTTAGTGTAGCTTCAGACACAAAACTGTCAAAATTATAATCAAAACCGTTCTAAGTTTGCTGACTTGTTTCTATATAGTGGTAACATGACCTAGCCCAATCGTGCAAGTGTAGCCTACTTTATGTAGGCTAGTTGTGTGTTTTGACTAACAGCAAAATGTCAACGGACTTTAATAAACCAGAGGTTAACAATTTTGGTCATGTATCCAAAAGATAAGATTAAGGAAAATACCCCCGCCGCAGCAAACCTGCCGACTAAGCGAATTTCCATTTGTCTGAATTGATTTTCAGTTAAATATATTTTAATAACATTAGGTTTAACGAGTACCTAGGTTTGCTGCTACAAGGAAACTAATAAAGTGTGTTTTTGAGTAAAATATTGATAGCTTAGTACAAAATAAATAAATTTGCCAAGTTTGATCAAAATGTATCCATAAACAAGCAAACTACAACATTTGACAATATTCTCCATAAGAATAACATGGGAATTTTAAATTTACAATTTTTTTAATTTTCTCCGTTACTAATAATCGAACAAAAATACTTTTATATACTAAATTATTTGTTTTTTTAAGCTCTTTAAAAAGGTCTAAAGAGAAATCGGGAAATTTTGTGTTTTGAGGGTCAAAAGTGAGAAAAACCAATTTTTACCCCATAAAACCCCCCGTAAAGCCCCGTTCCCATGGTCCGATCGTGCTGGTTCGCGAACTCATTCAAGTTTATCCCGCTTTACACCTTTAAACCAAGTTTCATCAAAATCGGACAAAAATTACTCAAGTTATCGCGTTCACGGACGTATATATATATATATAAGTCTATATATATATATATATATACATATATAAAAATTTGAACGAATGGTGTTTTTGGCCTCTGGGGACATCAAAATGAAAAAGTAAATCGGTCCCGGGTCTAGGTCTTACCGTGCCACCTACGGTAATAGCTACTTCCCTATAGGGAAATTCGCTAAAAAGTACCTTCTAACATCATATTTTATGTTTTTTATTAAATTGGCACAAAGATTTTTTATTAATTCCATAGACAAACTACAAATTAGATGTTTAGTGCTTTTGAATTTTGTTTTGAAATATAAGAAAACAGAAAATTTTAGCCCACACTGTTAGGAATAATAAACTGAGAAGTGGCTAAATAGTAACAGAAAATGATATACATTAGATTCTGGATTATTAGACTATTAGTTATCTGACCCTGCTTGTACTGTACTTTACAACGAGACAGGCTACTAGGTTTCAAACCCCTGAACTTTCGTACGACTCCTAGTATTGTACAACTCTTCATCCTTACGCATCTATTAAATTGTCAAATGTTCTAGTCAAATGAAAATACAGTAGTCAATTTCAGTTCAACATATCAGTAGTCTTTAAAAACATGTGATAATTAATTTTCACAAATAAACTATACAGCAGAAATAGAAAATATTAATCAATGGACATACATATATATGAAATTAGTCATTAACAACTCTCATATTTTATTGGAGCAGTTTTGCAGTTTTCACGATGTTAATATTTTAATTGTAAAGTTTCTTAAAACAAAACAAAGTTTATAATATTGATTTACTCACGTCAAATTCAATGTTTCATAGTATTTAGGTAACTGTTTTACTTTTCATTTAAACATCTCAGTTGATCGATCTTGTCGTTGGCGATTTAGGTTTAGTAATCGAAACTCTATTGTATATATATTTGGAAATTGCAGTTACAATTTTTTAATTTAGGGCTGTGGCAAAACCAAAACTCCAACCAAAAACTAAATTTTAATTGGCAATTTAATAGACAAATGTTCTACCATTTTTTTTTTTTTTGTGTTTTAAAAGAAATTACAGCGGTTCATCTAAACAAGCTGTTAATGTCTAACCCTTTGTCATGGCTTGGTTATGCTCACTAGGAGCATTTTAAATATGACATTATTATTTGTTTTATATTAAATATTTATAGTATCCGTCAATCAAGACTTTACATAGAAACAAACTAAAAAACGGAAATCAGTAATTTCAATCAGTACACTTTTTTCACAGCTCAATTCAAACGTACATTTTTAACTTGGTACAACTTTATCATGAGAATCTGTAGGAAGAGGCTTGTCTAGAGAGAAATTGTAGTTCAATTCCAAAACTATAACCAGACAAGTAAATAAATAGGAGTTTCACAATATAATTTTTAAGTTTTGATTTAGAGATTTTGAATTTCTGGTTTTGACAATCAATCCTATAGATAACAGATAATGCTTAAGTTGGCGTAGATTAACACGAGGCGTTGTTCTGATTGTAGGTATTTATTCCGGCAGTTAGAGTTTTTCAGTCGAAGTATTCTGATGTGCTGACGACGGCTGAATCACCCTCTCTCACCACGTACCTGCTACTCCTGACCAGCAAACTAATCTTGCGACTCGTCTATTTTTATATTAGTCTTTGAATCCTTAATTGCCGAAGTGCGACGTATAAATGTCGCTTTAGTAACACGGTAGTCGAGTTACCACTGTTGTTGTGCCTTAGAAGTTGTACGAATCAAGGTTTTATTCAGTACTTATTTATGTGCTTATAAAATATAGTTATATTTTGTTATCTGCTTTTGTAGATTTTTTCATTTATGTAATCCTATTTGTAGACAGTTAATTTTGTGATGCAATAAAATCAAAAGAATCTTGAGACTCGTTATAAATCTGTGTTTGGACAAGACAGTGGGGTTAGTTTGTTTCTAAGTTATACTTCTAAAATTACTACATAACATGGCAATAAAAATAACAGTTACAAATGTTTATAAAAGTTCATATACTGTGTATTTCTTCATCCATCAAATAAGTATTAAAAAATGTTAAGGTTTATAATTTAAAATTAATTTGTAATTAGAGTAATTTAAATTTGATAGATCCTCAGTTCCTCCAAATAAGTTTTGTTGTTTATTTGTTAACTGAAATTACTGATTATTGAAATCTGCCTTGAGAGTTATAGAATTTTTTAAATTGAGATAAGAAATTCTCAATTGAAAACAACCGGTAGAAGAATACATGCAGCTGTTAGAGTTAAGCTTAACTATGTTATATTTTCTTTGTTTGAATCCTAACTGCACTCATGTTTTCAACTAAATTTTTCCATAGTGTTTGTGTTAACTTTTGTTTGTATGTGTTAAATGTCTCTCAGTGTTCTTGCTTTTTATGTTTGCGTAATTTATTTGGGATGAAATGTCTAACGCTTTAATCTCAAAAATGCTTGATTTAGGTAATCACAATTTGCCAATTAATTGTAAGTGCTCTACGGGTATAAAATTAAATATCACCATCTATTTGACTAATTTTACTGTGAGATAAATGCTGTATTTATTTAATTACATAATACAGTTTCATAGAATGTCATCCTAGTCTGAATGAAATCTGCCATGTGTAAACTACTAACTCTGCTGTCGCCTCCACCATGTGAGCAGGTGTTTTAACAAGTGAACTTGTGTATATGGCTTTATCAAGATGAAGCAAAATATGGAGTCTAAAACAATCAATACATTTTACTAGATCTCATTGAAGCACTACTCCAGTTGTTGTTCAGTAAAACCTTGGTTCTAATAATTAGTATTACACAAAATAGGCATTCTGGCCTTATATTCTACACTGTTAAAATATATCACCGATTGCCAATTATTTTAGAGCCCAATGGCTTTGCAATAACACTTAGTAGCTTTAAGTATCTTCCTCATCTTTCCTTGTAAATGTCTATCCTATTTCATGATCTAAGTGATAATATTACATAGATCTGAGCGTTTACGCTTTTAGAGTTTCATATTTTGTATTTTAATTTTTTACCGTTTGGTAGTGCCTGTCTAAGTAAAACTTTTTGTAGAGCTTAGTAACTTAAGAATTCACTAACAATTCCACTTATGACTATTTTTTTGTCAATTGTGAGAATATTTCAATAGGTTTGTAAGGGCAAGAAATAACTTGTTGGAGAAAATAAAGTACAATAGAGTCAGTGTAAGCCATACTTGATCAATGGTGCTTATATAACTTAAATTTTACTACAGAATTATATTTATATACATATATTTGCCTGTTACTGCATGGCTTAAGTTTTATGATTCATGCTTTAATACTTTAATACACCTAGAATATTTTAACTTAATTTATTGAATCTTATTTTTTTATCTTTTAAATTGAAAATTGTATCATTTTGTTACTAAAATTGATCTATAATCTGATTTTATTTCAGTCGAGAATCCTTCTTCATCCTTCCTTTGTTAGTGGACAAAGCAGTTCACAGATTGCGTAAGCTGAAGAATAAAAATGTCAAAATCTAACTCCTAGGTCAAAAACTACTGTAGATGCACTAATTTCTTAGCACAAACTAGTATTAAGGTATTAGTATAGGGAAGAAATTATATATCTACTGTTATCAAAGTTTATATGTATGTCGTTGCAAGTATTGTTATGTTTGATGGCAAGATGAGAAACAATGTTTAGTTTTGGCAGTTGAAACTGATGTTGTATTTGTCCCGTGTTGAAATGTGTTTCTTCTTTAAAAATACTGTTTTCCAATTTATTGATGTTTGTATGTTAAGTTTTGTCCAATATGCTTGTAAGTTTACATGCAGTTATGTTACTAGATTGGTTTAAGCTCAGGAATTGACCCAGTACTTAAAATTCCTGAGACTGATATTTTCTCAAAGATGTTTGAATATTTTCTGAATGATTTTATTACTGCTGTATATTTTGATCAATGTGTATTTATTTGTATATATCACTAACCTAGTTACCTAAGACTGAAAACAATAGCTTGAAGCTATTTATGGGCATATTTTAACCTGAGTTGTTGATTAAATCTTATCAAATGTTTGCTTTTGTATACGATTATTTTAAAAATGTATTTTGGAAAAATAGGCAATTTGTGTTTTTGTTCTTGTATTTGTAACTTCAATGTCATAACACCCTCCTTGAAGCTTCTGATGCATACATAGTTACTCAAATTTACTAACATTGATTTGGGCACTCAATATTATCTATTAGCTTTGTATGTAAATTGCATATAGATATTATAAATTATATTTTGTTATAAGATATTTAGCTTAACTCAAATTACTTCCATATATTGCTTCATTACATTTCCTACACTGTAAACTTTAGTTTGAATGGCTGATATAAAAAAAGAGTATACAAATTTTAACAACTTTGCATGATAACTTGAAAAAAAAAAACACAATAATTGTATATCTGAATTGAGCATTAGGGCTTAGGACTAGTGTTTATGAAACATCATTTTAAGGCAAGAGTATGCCCTGGGCTTCACTAATGTGGTGATTGCCAGGTTTAATATTTACCTAAATATCAACTTCACATTTTTTCTAACTATGATATATTCTTATGATACAAGTGGGCCTAAATTAGCATATAATTTTTTAATATCTACTACCGAACATATTTATAGCCCCTCAAAGATATTACTTTGTAAAAGTATATAATAAAAAGATGGGCCTACTATAAACCTCTAATTTGGTTCTCAAGTTATAATTTTGGATTGATTTAAGCATTGCTATTTTAGTATTTTGTTATTTTTTACACTTACTCCTGATATAAACACCTTTAGACTATCAGCCCAGTTAGCCAAGTATTGAATCTGGAAAATGTTTCAATGAAATGTATCTATTGGAAGTGTCACTTGCCGTCCATCATCTCTGCACTTACACGACTGTCAAACTAACGTGATTGCACTACACTTATTTTACTTGTAAAACGATAAAAATTTTGGGGATATTTTGGGGTAAAGTATATTGTCATTGTCCTATACATATGAATGTATGATTTAGCAAGCTAGATTAAACACTCAGTATTTTATATTTGTTTGTTTTAGTAACTGAAAATAATTTTAATTTTAAATTTTTACTGTTATTAGTTGATTTTATTCCATATTATAGTGAAGTTCTTGAGGTAGCTTTTTAAACAATATCACATCGTATCCTTGAGTAAACGAGAACTTAAAACTGATATGCGTTTGACTAAATGGATCGTTTTTATGATGATAACATTAATTGTACAAATAAATTTGTTCCGTTTAAAATGTAATTTTGTCATACTGCGCCTTCAACGGCTGTTTTCAGTAAATGCATCGCATAATTAAGTAATTTGTTTATACATAGGGTATAAAAGCATTAAAGTTTATTGTTGTTTGAATAAGCTGGGGTTGAGGGAATATATCAGCTGTCCCTTATTCTTGCTCGAAAACTTTGTTAGCAAATTTCCCATATAGGGAATAAGCTATTACCGTAGTAGTCTACTTGTGGTTATTCCTGGACCCGGAACCGATTTAATTTTACGTTTTGAGGTCCCTAGAGGCCAAAAACACCATCCGTTCAATGTGTGTGTCCGTTCGTTTGCACAATAGCTTGAGCAAAAATGATTTTGATGAAATTTGGTATAAACGTGTAAACCAACATTTATTTAAATGAGTTTGCGTACTAGCATGGTCGGACTATGGGAACAGGGGTTTATGGGGTAAAAACTGGTTTTCCCCATTTTTGACCCATAAAACATAAAGATAAGCAATTTCTTTCCAAAACATTATGTAGAGCTTAAGAAAACAATTAATTTAGTATATTGAAGCGTTATGTGCCTAATGGTTATGGAGAAAATTCCCAAAAAAAATTAATTTAAAATTCCCATGTTATTCTTATGGAGAATAAGTTAACTGTTGTAGTTTGCCTTGTTTATGAACATATTTTGATCAAATTTGGAAAATACATTTATGTCTTTATAAACTATTCACATTTTACAAAAACAAAAAAAATACTTTCACCCTCCCTGTTGTGGCAAACCTTAGTCCTCGTTAAAGTAATTATGTTTAAATAAGGAATGAATGGGATATTTTAAAGGAGACATTTTAGTGTAAATCCAATCAGGCAAATGGAAATTCGCTTAGTCTGCAGGTTTGCTGCGGCGGGGGTATTTTAAAATGGAAAGTACAGTAGTTAATATTTTTATATTATTAATTGTCATTTGCTGGACTGCTATTGCTTTAGCAACCCTATCACTGCAAATATACATCCTATATACATAAAAAAATGCAACCCCTTGTATATTATTGACATTACAATCTGGGAGTCGCCAGTTTGATTTCAAGCAAGATCGTTTCTGGATCCAGATGTCATTTGTTATTGGTCCATCAATTACATATCATATCCAACAAAACGCTGAAATAGATAGGAACAAGACCATTCCCTTAAAAAAACGTCAAAAATTCCAACGGTGTAGCAAAAAAATGTCTCGGTATATACATGATATTTCTTTATACAACTGTGTAAGATGACCTATAAACATGAGCCCTGACTTTTTGAATCAGTTATCTCAAAAATTGGTGCAGTATGACAAAAAACATGACAAATCTAACTTTTTAGGGTTTTGTAAACATAATTTTTAGGCTGTGAGATAAATTTTAGTTTTGATGATTATTTATTCCTTGGTAAAATACAATTTTATAACATAGTTAATTTGTTAATTCTACAACTTTATCTTGATGGCAAATTTTTCCTTCTAAGAAAATTGTGTTATAACTAATTTTAACGTCTTACAACATTTCCGCATGAATTGCAATTGAAGAATTGTTTGTGATTTTAAACAAAATTCAAACCAACTGAGCAACCCTATTGCTGCAAATATACATCCTATATACGCATGAAAAATTCAACTCCTTTTATATTATTGCTTATTTCATTTAGATAAAATGAAATTACACTTACGCAATTGAGAACCTAAGATTTGAAGTTGCCTAAACTATATTATTCGCCAATTTAAACGATTTATTCTTGATTTTGGGCATAATACCACCACCAATGTTTTTCCACTTTATACATGTTATTTGCAAAGATACACAATATTTACATATTTTTATAACATAATACATATCCTTCCTACTTTAGATAAACAAACCAACTAAATGAAACTCTAGAAAAAGCAATGAATACCATTAATCTAGTTGCCGCCATCTTTGATATTAGCTAGATGCAAAACTTATATATACCTAGTCTTGTTTTCTTTTGTTTGTTTTAAACTATATTTTAATTTCGCAAAATTATGAGAAATAAATAGTACTAGTGTGAAACGTTTTGTAAGCTACAATGGCATTGACCACTTGCTTGTGCAACTTAACACCAATATTGTTATCATGCCTTTACATACAATAATATTGTATTTGTACCGTGGAGCTACTCACAACAATGCATACCTTTATTTAACAAGAAATTAACAATTTCTCTTCAGCATATTTACTATACTTTCCTAAACTTTTAAAGATTGTATTTACAACTTATCTGGGAGTCCTTTCCAGTGTTTCATCTAGTTTGTTGGTTTTATAAGATAGTTAAAAACTAAAAAGTTTATTAACTCAATTTTAGGGCTACAGATGTGCCGATTTGTTGACTGCGTCTATTCTGCACATGTGATAAAACATGGGGTTTCCTACACTGTTATATTGCCATCAGCTTATTTTTAAGTACCTAAATAAAAAATAAAATCAGCAATCGTAATGTTTATTTGGACCTGTTTTACCTTAATCTATATTGGTTCTGAAGAATACAGTTGTTTCACTCCTACTAAAGTTTCAACATTCACTTTCACTTATACCTCTATAAAATAGCATAGAAAGACAAATTCCTCAAAAATGGCTCCTGCCGAGCTTAGCTGTTTTATTATAGTTTAGCTATTTCAATCAAAACAAAACAATACAGCATTGAGATATACAAGGTGACCGACAGGGACCGGACATTTTTGAATGGAAAGTATACACATGACAATTATTGTCTCGAGGGGAGGTATGTCATTTATAGCTGTATCTTATGCCATGCATCATTGGACGGTAAACACAGGATGGTTGCCTATGATGAGTAGTATGAAATGGCGAGCCTATCACGGCAGGGCAACAACTTTTTTTTTACGAGCATAGGTACTCTCTATTGTAAGCATCTACTCTTGTTATTTTCATTGTGGAAAAAATTTTTACGGTATTTTATATGGGAGTTTTACAGACTCCAAATTTCACCAACTACAATTAACAGCGATTCACTAACTCCAAATTTCACTAAGTCCAAAAGCATAAATTTTAATTATTCATTGTTTCACAAACTCTAAATTTTACATTAATTTAATAAGCAGAGAGTTTTGCGAGCTCCAAAATTCACCAAAGTGCATCCCCGGCCAGAAACTGCTGAGGAGTTGCCACGGTCAGATTGAAGGCACTGTCTGCCGTGGTCAGGTTGGATTAGGTTATCAATCAATACTACATTCTTTACGATACATTAACGCAGTCACAATGTTGATTCGTAGCACATGGCTAACAACGCAAGAACGTGCGGTGCCTGCAATCTGACCGTGGCAAACCCTACAGCAACTTCTGGCCCGGACTGTACTTTGGAGTTTGTGAAACAAAGTTTATTTAAAATTTAGGCTATTGGAGTTTGTGAAATTTGGAGTTCCTAATGTCATACTAAGCCGAACATTGTACTATTATTGTACTAAAGAATGTTTAAGGCAAATTTGAAATATATCTGTGAGAATATATTTTTATTTAGAAAGCAGGCAAAATAATCAAGTGTTGTTTCCTACCAGTTTGTTATGTATGAGAAGAATGGGCTTATTTTTAATTTGAAACAACAATATGTCCAGTTAAATAATTGAACATTAATGTGCCCAATAGGCCTGTAAAGAAGGATGACAAAGGACAATGATTGC